ATAAATTTTGGTCATTGGCTGACAAGCAGACTTCATTATTGAGCATCATATGAGTCAATAAAACATGGGTTTTCTCTTATTTTTCTTGATTCTTGATTTTATAACATGCTCAATAATGAAGTCTGTTTGTCTGCTGATGACCAAAATTTATCAGAAGTTGTATTTTGACGTATCGATGAAAATATTACAATATTGGCCTAATCGCTGGATACTAACATGTTTATTTTTGGCCTTGAGACTGATTTTTGGTAATTTAGGGATTTCGAGGCTATGAATACAATTTTGGATGACAAATTTGAATTCTTCATCAAATTTAACATAAAAAATCATGTTTCAATAATTTTTTTATATCCAGCCTTGGGAAGCAAAATAAAATATGAAAAATTAAATTCCAACTTTGATCCCAGAGGGGGGGGGGGGGCAGTTGACGCGATATAGCCCTTATGCTAAGACTGTACGATTTTTCAATTACGTAAGTTTATATTTTTAATCCGCCACGTACCTAGATCAACCGGTTAATCCGATCAAAAGCATTTGACTCAGTGTGATCATAACAAGTGGCGTCTACTGTAGGTCATTAAAAGTACTCATTTTGAAATCAATAGATTAAAACGTCCTATGTCTTCTAAAGTAAAAGGTAAAAGGAAATAAAATTTTTTTGCATTTTTATATATATTTAATAGAAATTAAATATAAGTTTATTGCATGATTATTTGATTCATCGTTCGAAGTCATCAATATTCCCATAATCTAGCGTGTTGGCATTGATGCTACCTTGGTTTGCTACTCCTATCTCAAAGCTGCAATCTCTTCTATGCATCTTCCGCACCTACCACAGTTGAATTTCGATTCAAAAGACACACGTGCGACAATTTCCAGCATGAAATTGATTCTCTTCCCTTCGTTCAAAAAATTCGTTGCCGCTCTTTGCCGATAAAATTCTGTTTGTTACTAAGAAAAGAAAGCGTACGCGTTTTCTTGTGCTAGTGCTAGACTCTAAATCAACGTCCAATTTTTTAGGAGCTGAGAGAGTGGGAAGAGAAGGGCTTGTTCTCCTAAATCAAAAATAGTTTAGACAGCTCGGCAGGATTAAACTTCCTCGTTTTCTTCGTCGTTGGATGCGAGCCACGCTACGTCAGAATAGTATTAGTAGCAATAATTTTAGTATGGAGTGCGTATATGCCTTTGTGTATATTCTTATCTTTTTGCATAGAAATCTTATACATAAATAAAGTAATTTTTTTTAACTGTAACGACGAATTGTGCTATATCATATCAATAATAACCCTACTCTGGTTGAAACAGAACATTTTTTCATCATTTGTGTTATGCTATTTTAAACATCAATAACCATCAATTTAATATTAATTAAGGTCTCAAAAGAGACTTGATTTTTTTTGATTTTTATAATTAAAGCATTAGGTGGTAAATACTTTTTGAATTTGTGTGATTTGTCTTTCTCATGAAATAATCTGTACTAGCCCGACTTTCAGCGCGCTTCACGCGCTCTATTCTTGTTATAAACTGTAAAAATACGCAGTAAGTCGGCTTTTCACCTCAGCGCCTCGGCGAGAAAACCAATCAAAATAGGTTAATATTTCACTTTCTCAACTTTCTATAACACTCGTATTTGCGTGCTACTAAACAAAAACAAACTTATAAACTGCTCACGCTAAAAACCTCACCACTCTTATAGGGGAGGATGGTCGAAATATAGATTCCTGAAAATTTTGTGATCAGGTCAATGAATTATTGACTAATATTCTTTATTCTCGTCTCTAGTCTATCTATGTTTATAATCGATCTTTGTCATTCAATTGTTAGATTGATCTAAAATTATATATTGTAACTCAAATTTATAATGGGATTCATTATGAGTTTACAGAATTATAAAATGCGGTTTTATTTTTTTTTTGTTTTATAGATACAGTCGCAGCCTCAGACTAAATATGTGATGTATTATTACTGATCTAAACAATTTTACTATCCCTGTATCTACCTATTTACCTAATGCCTATCTGACTCTTGGGGCTCATGCCCTAGCTTAACTATGCAGTAGGGTGGAGCGAAGTAGGCGAAAAATTTTAGATCACTTTGGAATAGTGTTCAAAGTTCATCTTTTACACAAACAAAACAACAGCCGTTCGCTAGACTTTAGCAAATGATATTTTCTACTGCAACCAGACCGTAAAACTCCGTTTTTTCGTATTTTTTCGTTTTTCTCGAATGAAAATTGAACTTTAAGCCAAATAAACTAAATAAAACGTACCGGACCCTTATAAATTGATCCAACCTTTTTTAAAATACAATAACAATCAGTTTTGATTGTTATAGTTACTCTTAAAAACTCTTGTCTTACTGGTATAGCTCCAATAACGACGATTTTTCGACTTTTTTTGCGATTTTTTGTGCATTTTCGATATCGTCCCGAATGCGTAATCTGTAATAAAAAACAAGTCTGAGACCGGTGATCGCTTTGTCAAGATGTACACTTTGAAGGTACAAACGCTCATTTTGATGGAGCTATAAGGAAAAAAACGTACCGAGCTAAAACATCAGCCATTTTTTACACTCCTTATACTATTTTTCCATGTTATCGAAAATTGGCACTATCGATTCGTTCAAAAAATTTGAAAAAAAAACTTCTTATGTACGTTAGATACAATGTATAGTAGTTTTTGAGCTCGGAGAAGGAGAAGACTTGAAGAAGGTTTGTGGTCAAGAAAATAGAGACGGTTTCATACGATCCACTTTGCAATCTCGCTCTCGGATGCCCACGTTTAATACAAAAAAAGAATTTGCCGTTGAATGAATTTTGTATATTTTGTCGTAATACAATTTTTAATTCTGATTGCTTAAATTAAACTATGAAATAAAAATTGTATTTTTGATTGTATGTTTTTATATTCATTAACATAATATATTTTAGAATAAAAAAAGTACAGTTCTCGTGATAAATTGTCCGATACCCTATTTGCATAATAAACTGTGAATATACTGAAATCTAGCCCGGTACGCTTTTTTCCTTACTAGACGTTTAAGACGCTCTCCGCGCGTATCAATTTTTTTATTTGTGTTTTGAGGTTAGTTTAAGATTCAGAAATAGTTCAGAAATAGTACGTTTCAAACGCGCTTCTCGCGCGTCAATTTTTTTCATTCGAATTTTGAGGTTACTCAAGTACTAACTGTCTGTTGACAGTTAGCAGCACAGGCTCTCGTATAGAGTCGGCTCGCGTCGTGCGTCGTCGTCAGTGTCAGCCAATCAGAGGTCGTTTTACACGGCTTCACTTTTCGGCCGTTCTCTTTTTTATAAGTAGATAGCTCGATCAAAATGAGCATTTGTACCTTCAAAGTGTACTTCTTGACAAAGCGATTACCGGTCTCAGACTTGTTTTTTATTACAGATTACGCATTCGGGACGATATCGAAAATGCACAAAAAATCGCAAAAAAAGTCGAAAAATCGTCGTTACTGGGGCTATACCAGTAACACAAGAGTTTTTAGGAGTAACTATAACAATCAAAACTGATTGTTATTGTATTTTAAAAAAGGTTGGATCAATTTATAAGGGTCCGGTACGTTTTATTTCGTTTATTTGGCTTAAAGTTCAATTTTTATTCGAGAAAAACGAAAAAATACGAAAAAACGGAGTTTGACGTTCTGGTTGCAGTAGAAAATATCATTTGCCAACGTCTAGTGAACGGCTGTTGTTTTGTTTGTGTAAAAGATAAACTTTGAACACTATTCCAAAGTGATCTAAAATTTTTCGCCTTTTTCGCTCCACCCTACTATGCAGTACCAGAAAGTACAACTTCTATAGAGGAAAGAGAACCTTAAGAGGAGGCTCTCATCCAGCGCCTCAAAAATGACGTGATTTTCGAGATTTTTTTTCGTGGAAGGAAGTGAATAATGCAGTCAAGTTTTTTGATACTTATAAAGTATGTATTCAACTATATTTACAAACTTTTTCAGACCAAAATATCGAATTATTTATACTATAGCAGCGTTTGATGGAGGTCGTGTTAAAAAAAGATAGCTAAACAGGCGACTAGCTAGCACCTTCAGTTTTTGCCCGAAATCAAAAATTCGAAGTTCCTCTTAATTTAGATGACATTTGCTAGAGGTTGAACTTAAACAATTGCAAAAAAATTACAAATTGATAAAATGGCGGACTTCGGAAAAAAAACTTTTTTTTCCCTTTTTCGGCTCTTTTAAGGGCTCCAAAAAATAATAATGATGAAAAAATTGAAAATTTTTTAGGTTTAACCTCCAGATAATTTAATTAGCTTTAAAATAAAAAAAGTGTATCTTTAAGTTCAGTACTTTTTGAAATATCTTGCCGCCCAATTCAGAAAACATGGTTTCGAGACAAACGCGTTGAAAGTTTTAGAAAGCGAATGTACATACAAACATACATCGTTCGCCCGTAAAAAGACAGCTCCAGTTTTTTGCCTATAACTTTTTAACCAAATCGATTTTGGGGTAAAAAGGGTTTCGGGAGTGTATTCTATGGGATATTTGCTAACTAAGTAAGCTTAATGTGAAATCATCATAGTGCTATAGAATTATGTAAGATATTCGTAAATTATTATAATGGTGCACTTACAGGGAAATCTTTTCACCTTTGGTTTCTGGAACTTTCCTAAAAATTTTTTCGAGACTTAGTACACCTAAAATAAAAATAATAAATAAATAAATAAATAAAGTGCATTAGATACTCATTTTCTATCTTCCAACTAATTGCGTAACTTTTTTCACCTCATTCTCGAAAACACTACATGTTATTGTTAAGAACTTGTTGGATCTCACTCAATGCCATGAACATTGTATTACATGTAACCCCCGGTATTCGCGGTAGTTACGTAAATTGAAAAGACCGCGAATGTGGAATTCGCGAATAACGGGACCTTATCCTTATGGGAAAAAGAAAATTACGTATATGTCAACATTACTTGAAAAAATTGTTATATTTAATTACACGATTAAATTAAAAATTAAACATGTTTGAATATGGTAGATTTTCTTACAAGGGAAAGAAATATAATTTTGCCATCTCCGCGCAAAAGTTTTCATAAAATTATCCAAATGATTTCAAAATAAAAAAATAAATCCAAGATTTCAATGCACATAAGGACTTGCCTTTGTTTTTGCTTTCGCATCGAGGTTCTGATTTGTCGTTAGATTGTGCAGAAAACAAAGTGGTTATGGTTATTACTGCCTTTACACAATAACATTAATATAAAAAACATTTTTTCATTATGACTTATGAGTAACAAGTTACACACAACATTCTTCCTCGTCCGTGGACATACCGTCATCCGCGAATGGTATTTTAGGACTCTGCATAATTTTTACCACGTAATTATTATAATGTCTCTACGTATTGATGTGTCTCCGACAATTTGTAGGCTTAGTAATACAGACGATAAAATTATAAATATTACGTTGCTAGGTTGAGCTGGTCATAGCAACCGGTGCATCTGTCGGACGCGCAGAAGTGGGCAAAAGTCCTTCTTTTTCTAGGCTACGCGTACGGCGAAAGTAAATACTTTTTACCGGGGGATCTTGTATCCAAATAACCCACACAGTTACCATTCGTATTTCATTATCAGGTCTTGAAATTTTACAAACCTTTACGTTCGAATCCATCAGTTGGCAATTTTCACGGGTTGGGGATTAAACTATGAACAAAACCCTTTGTAAATTCAATGCGGCCGTCCCACGAGAACCTTCCAGCCGCCCAAAGATTGATTCAATCGAGTTTCGGAAGTAAGGGGGTAGTCTCGGAACAACATTTTTCGACACTACCGAACAAAAATGTTGGAAAACATTAAACGGATTACACTGACATTTTTACTGACGTTTTAAAAGAATTAACACAAAAATTTTTTCTTTCTAAAAATAAATTGCAAAATTGAGAGTACAGTGCTGTGTCTACGATGGATTTTTATATTTCTACATAGCCTTTACTGGCATTATTGGTCATATTGGCGTGTATTTATATTTAATAAAAATAATACATATTAATCTGCCACTGTTCATAAGTCATTGATAAAACAATTTCTTATTTTTTATAGAAAGTCTACGGGAATATTTTGCCAAGTATGGTGATATAACTGAAGTTATGGTAATGAAAGATCCAACAACGCGACGTTCAAGGTAAGTCATTTAATGAATTATAAAAGAAGACTGGGTGAGTAGATATGAAAATTCAATTTTGGGTTGCTATCCGTGGGCTTTGATATTAAAATGTCGAACATTACGAATTCAATATCAAAAATATACTTTTAATATACTAGATGATGTCCTTTGATTACGTAGACCCTGCATAGACCCGACGTAGACGATGTACTGAGATACAATAAAAGTCACGTGTCCAAGATCTGTGAAAATGTTTCCTGAACAATCGTATTTTTTGAATCGGTGTACATCATAACTCCAAAACTACTGAACCTAAGCGTTATCTTTTTCAAAATATCGAATACTAAAATAGGCAATGTAAATAATGCTATTTAAATTAAAACTACTTCGGTGCCACGCAAAATTTGCTTAAAATGCACTCGAAATCAATAATAAGCGCGAGTAGAGACTATGTTTATATTGTATATGTTACCGGCAAAACCCGCTTTTAGGCAAAAGTGACTTTTGCCTAGGCAAAAACAAAAATGCCTAAAATTTTAGGCAAAACCCGCAGAAATATGTGAACTTCCTAAATCTTAGGCATTACCCGCAATGCCTACAATTTTTTAGGCAAAACCCGCAATGCCTAAAAAATTTTAGTCATTACTGTAAGCTAATAATTTTAAGTAAAAAATTAATGTAAAATACGCATTTATTTAAGTACAAAAGTCCAAGCTCACTTTAAGTTAAGCTTTGTCAAAGCAGTTAAATAATTTGTTATTATTTGTTACAGCAACTTAAACTATTGTGGCATTTGGAATTGCATAAAACGTTATTTTTTCGGCACATGCATATCTATGTCTTATCTCCACTCGTAGATTGCTTATTCGCAATCATCATACTTCTAATACATCAAATCGTTTTGCACGTCTTATTTGCTGAGAAGATTTTTTTGACGTGACTTTTCCGATTAGCTTGTCTTTCATAATTTCTTCAATCTCTGCCATTGAAAGAACTTTATAATGCTCTTTTTTTCTAGCCTCGGCGAGGAACTGCTCTTTCCAATTTCTGGTTTCAGTTTCCATTTTTTCTTTCAACTAGTGAGAGTATACGCTTGTATCCGTATTGGGTTATATCCAAAACAAAACTAACAAATACGTCCGGCTTGGATGCTGACTAGTCGTATACTAACGTGTTTACAGTAATGCCTACAATTATTTAGGCATTGCGGGTTTTGCCTAAAATTTTAGGCATTTTTGTTTTTGCCTGGGCAAAAGTCACTTTTGCCTAAAAACGGGTTTTGCCGGTAACATATATAACTATTTTGAATAATCACGCTCACTTAACTTGTAAATTTTACTCGATGTTCATACTAAAAACTATGTTTTCTTCATAATTTGGTGATAATTTGTGATGAGCCTTTTCGGGATACATAGGATTTTATAAAAGATCATTAAAATACTAAAAATTGAGTGGAATTTATCCTCTGAACCTAAAAGGCTTAGGTAATGATGCACACCACTCAGTAACATTTTTTTCAGAAGTAAAGTTTTTGAGAATTGCTTAGTGATGATTTGGATTCTCAAACTTGATGGGTCTTTCTAGTGAAAAATTTATTTGCTTTAAAACACATGCCGATGTTCGCCTTCCGACGAATCCGAGGAATTTAAGACTTTCTTGTCCACTAAATTAGCTGAAAAGCTAATAGAAAAGAAAAAATAATACATTAGCGAGTAGTGATTGCTATTAAGAGGAGGCCGTTAAGAAAGGTTTCACTGTATTTTGAAATATTTACAAACTTAATTTCTAACAAATTTCTTTTTAATCGAATGAAATCTAAATTTCAATATAAATAAATTACAAACTACGTAAAAAATGGCATGATCTAAACAGCGATTAGTTAGACTATTATAACTGCCTAATTTGCAGTGGCACATATAGAAACCGTCAAACTATATATCACTCTTGCCGCATTTTAATTGTGATAAAATTGAAAGTAAATTTGTATATCAAATTGGTACGATTATTGCATATTATTAAGATTAAAGGAGAAAGGAGTTAAATTACCATACACAATGGTTAATGCAAATATAAATTTATTAATGAGATTAAGTAAGTTATCAGAGGCACGTTCGTCAGACTAGTGACTAATTGCTCAACCGTAGATTAAACCTATAGGTGGTGCTGTAATCGTGCATTGTACGCATGTTTCATTCTTAACACATATTGAATTTGAATACATAATATTAAGAATCGTACAGGAAAAACCTCATTTATAAAAATGCATTGAATAACATTGGCCTGAGTTATTTGTTTTATTTTTTCAACAAATTTTCTACGTAAATGAAATGAATTTTTCAAATGATATGCTCACTGGTACTTGTTTGATTTCGATGCTATAATAAATCAAAAATCATAAACAAATTACTTCATAATAATAGAAAATTACGAAGAATTAGCAAGGGTTTGCGTTAAGGATTACATTTTTCTGAGAGTTTTTGCGAATGAAATTTTGCAACAATTCTGCATCATCTCTAGATGCAAACATTGCGCGTTTTTACTTAAAAAACGCCCACAAAGCTCTAACACTTAAAAAGAGATTGTTCGATATCTAATTTTTTTAGCAGGCTTCTGATATTAATTAATGAAGCTCTTTGTGCTGAAAAGGGGTGTGAAATGGTCTCGAAAATTCCAATTATTAACAACGATTCTAATTAATAACAATAATAGTTTAGCAATTATTCATGTTTTCATGTTTTACATTTATCTATATCGAGATGTGATGCATCTGTTTGAATAAAATTTAATTATAAAACTGTCTTGTAATGCTGCTTGTTAAGGGCTCAAAGGGGGCTTAAATAATTATATATTTCTATTTATAGTATTAAGCTGAGAAAGTGAAAAAAAAACTTTCAGCCCTTAAGGGAATATGTTTCAGTGGAAAACTAGTTTACTGACATTTACGTAATCATTATTAAACTCGAAAAGCGATGATTACTAAATAGTACCTAATGAAAGCACGGTAGGAGTTTAAAAAGACGTATAATTTTAAGTTCGTGCAAATACCATATTTTGATCCCCTCTATGACTTCAACGAATACTAACAAGCAGACCACCCCAGCTCCGGGTCATGGATTTGCTCCAAAATGTTTGTGGGGTCTCTTGGTATCCAATACTGAAGCTTCCTGTGCTTGATCTCATTGGCCTTAGGGCCCATTTTTTGGAGGATTTTCCACATTATAAAAAAATCTTTGTTATTTTCTATATCGATACAGAAAATAACAAAGATTATTATATAATGTGGACAATCCTCCAAAAAATGGGCCTTAAGGGGACATCCACAAATGACGTCATCACCTACAGGGGGGGGGGGGGG